AGTGAAATTCATGTCTGTCAGCTTAATAATCGGGGGAGTTCACTGTGATATGGTAATGGAAATCCATTGCTGCTCATGCCTTTTCCCTGTACATTATTCCTCCCTAAATGATCCAATCTAATATTGTTATACAAACCGAGCAACCGATCCCAACCGAGGTCACGAAGGGTGATGCCTGATTGGACGATGAGCGCCTCCAGTTTCCTGTTGTCCCGAACTGCATGCTGGTGTTGGCATCCCTGAACTTCGCTATCCTCATCAATAAACTTATCTTTAAACAAGATCTCTCCTATTTGGTACGATGCTCTCGTTTCGCCTTGCTTACTTAAATATCAAGAACAGAGAGGGAGAGAGCGGGGCGGGTTGGGGTTGACACTCACCTCTTTGGCTAGGAGAAGGGGAAAAGATTTAACCAGCCTGCCCAAATTAAGATCGGGTAGGATGTTGTTGGTGAACTCCATGGGCGAGGTGAGAAATGCGAAGAGGAGTTCGCTACTGCGCAGAAACGGTTGGCCAATCAGGTACTGAAGCCACACGAATAGAGCGAGGGGAAAAAAGATGTATGAGCACATTTATAGGCAGAATAAAAATATAGGCAAATGAGCAACAGTAAATGGAGGGCCGATTAATAAGTTTGCACGTTCCCACCAGTTGAGCGGGAAACAAATCGAAAGCATAGGCAAGAATAACGACGGGAACGGTCAAGAGTAACTTGTCGCGTGTAATTGAAACTGTTTGCGAACAAATCGTTGGAACTGTCGCCATGTGAGGCGCCAAGACGAAGTCAACTTGGGGACAGCATCGGACTGCTCCTGCCATTGCATGAAGGTTCACACGAGGAGGAAATCAGTTGATTGTGTCTCCATAGAGTGAGGATAGATAGGTGTTGACAGGCTAGAAAGTTTCTGCGTAGCTGTCAGTAAGCTTTAGCTTATTGGATAATGCTGTAGTTCAGTCTGATCTGAGCAGTGAGGAAGATACGGTGACTTGTGGACTGTAAACTATCCTGATTTTGGCGACCAGTGTGTCCTTGGATTTTTCCAGCCTTCTGATTCAGCCAAATTGCTCCCGCTATAGTTATGGTCTGCAGCTGACGAATGTGATTTTATTTACAAGGGAAAACAGTTCGTTTATGCTCACTAAAATTGGGTTTTCTCAGGGACAGAAAACTGAGTATTACGCTTATTCAAGTTGAACCAGTCATCGGATCGGCGGGCCTCTCAGTACACCGTAGGGCTAACATTTATAGTGACTCGTACGGCTGCGATTATACCTGATATAGCCGTTCTTGAGCACGTCACGGACCATACCTCTCCACACATGACAGACCACGGCAGGAGATAAGGACAGTTAAATCCATTCTCATTGCCAACAAAGGAGACCGATTACCGAAGGTTCAAAAACCCTTCTATGCCTTAACAAACTGCGTCGAGCCAGGTTTGAAGTTGACCCCTTCTTCGATGCCTCTTAGTGGGCGCCCCTGCTAGGGGAACTGGAAACAAATCGAAAGCACGAGCAAGGAAAACGACCAGAAAGGTCAGGAGTAATTTGTGAGGTGTAATGTCAACTGTTCGCCAGCAAACCATCAACACGGTCGACATTTGAGGCGCCAAGGCAAAGTCAACTTGGAGATGACGTTGGACTGTTCTTTCCATTTCATGAAGATTCCGATAGGGAAGAAATCTGTAGGTTTTTTCGCCACAGAGTGAAAATAGACAGGCGTTGTCAGGATGAAAAGGTTTTGCGTAGCTGTCAGTAAACTTCAACTTACGGGCTAATGGAGCTAATGGATACCCGAACTCATTTATCAAACGAAGCAAGCGCCGAGTGGACAGACGGCGGCCGGTGGAGAACCATTCCCGACATAAAAGGAGTCTCCGAAGCAGTCTCTCGACTGTTACAACCCGCTGAAGTAGGCATAGCCCATCGACATCAGATTACAATACGCCGCCGCGTGATGCAACCTAAAGACAGACTGCCCCCTACAGAAACCTCTACAGTTGTCTACAAGATACGTTGCGACGACGGAGGTTGTAATTAGGTTTGAGAAACAGGAAGAAAATTGCGGACCCGAATACATGAACACAAACTAGCGGCTCGGAGACTAGACCCAAACGCACAGCTTGCAGCTCACATCGAAGAGACTGGCAAGGAGCAATAATCGTAGGCCGAGGAACCTCAAAAGCCGAAAGGCCGACGCCTGAGGCCTAGTACTCGGACGCCAACTTCGTCAACAGGCATCTAGGCCTCCCCGCGGCCTGCAAAGCCTTACGCCATGATGTGAGCAAAAGACAGAACAAGGCCAAACCGAACGTAAGAATTGCAAACGAAGGGGACTGCACGACGAACCGACCAGGAGAGGACACAGGATCACCAGGACCTTCTGCCGTGGAGACAAGGCGTTACATTATTTGCTGTTTATGACTCTGAACGACTCCCGGCTTCACTGACAGTTAATTAGCGTATACCAGTATAATTGCCCCCATCCTTTTCGATTGATGGTTCTCACGCCTTGACGACCTGATGACATCTGACAGTTGATTGGCTTATGCCTGCTATAATTACCCTCCTTTT